AAAAAAAAAAAAAAAAAAAAAAAAAAAAAAACAACTACAAAAGAAAAACATCTATCACAAAACTCCTTCCTCTGCACTGCAGGTAAACATTTTACCAGTAACATTCTGATGTGATCCGTGAGCTTTTCATCATTCCTTCTTTGGTGTTCCTTTCAAACACTATCTGTAGTCATTGCTGTTGTATATCGAAAGTCAAAAAAAAAATATCTGCTAACCAAAACTGATGAAATTTGTAGTTGAACTATCTGAGAACTAGATGTATGTAGGAACAGATATAGAAATACAGCGTAGAGTTAGGAACAAGGCTACCCCACTGTTGCTGCGAAAAACTTTGAATCTATCAAAATCTGCGTTCGCCAAAAAAAAAGTTTAAACGTCTTACTGTTGAGCATCAGTAATTCCTGGACACCAGATGCAAACTGGCTCAAACTCTATGCCTACCTTGGTTGAACAGCAAGTCAGATGAACAAAGTGCAACTGGACAGTGCCACTACTTGTCACCTCCAGCTCAAATGATAGACAAGTAACACAACTGTTTTTCTATTAGTTTTCTGTTTATTGTACCTGACTAAACATAACAAATGCAACTTTCGTCAGTAATTCTTGTATTCACTTGAACAGGTGTAAAATACATCAAAGTGAAATGATGAGATTCCTGCAAAGCATCTCTAGACACCATTGAAGTGTAAAAAAAAAAAGTGCAAAACTGAAAAACCAACAAACCAAATTGGCACCCGATCGAACAAAATGCATTGGGAGATCAAATGCAAGCAAATGAAAATAAGAATCAGTTATAAAAATTTTAATACACCCTCCCTGAAATTTGAAGTCCACCGTTTGTCGCCACTATTTCTTTTCCATTCCCGATATCCTCATACTTCAATCTACCCAATTCATCCATTAGATAGCGCCAAAAACAAAACAAAAATGAAAAAAAGTTTCTGAGCTAACGTCAAAGATATTATGTACAAAGTCAAGCAACACAGCTTCCAACACGCATTTTGGAAGGTTTCAACATAAAATAACCGAGCCATATAAAACTTTATAAAACCATAAATATTCAAAAAAACCTCTTTTTTTTCTATACACCAAGATTTCTCGCAGTCAGTAAATCATTTAGATGAAAGCACAGCTACATCCATGTAGAATCACAGTGATATAAGCGAAAAGACAAAGACCAAAATAAAAGCAATAAAAAAATGAAGATGAAAATCATCCGGGCCATTTAAAGACGTGAACATTTAAAACCAACAAAACCTTAAAAACGTATTTTGATAAAAAAATACATCAGAAAGAAAAGAGCAAAAAAAATTTCTAGCAAAAAATTCAGTCCCGTTTTTTGACGTGAGATGCAATAAAGTAAAGCGATATTCTGCGCCACCTTTACTGAACGTTGCATACTTTCGAAACAGCTGATTTTTTCGGTAAAAGTCGCGAAAATATCTTACGCTTGTGTGGTGGACGATTATTCTGACCAGACGTGATAGCCGGCATCGAAACAGTATTAGTGACAGGAGCAGCATCGTCGTCAAATCGCAGTTCACTCAATGAACGAAATTCAGAAATGTACGGACGAGCAGCTAACATCGCCATGGCCAACACTGTACGAATAGTAGGCTAAAATTCAAGAAACATGTTCTCAACCCACAAATGGAACAGAAATATTGTTATAAAATTGTAGTCCATTCCTTATTTATCCTTTTACAAGTGATACTCATCTGAAATTCCAAGTATATGATACAGTAATTGATCTCCTGTTACCGTCACATCCACACACCTATAGATACTAAAATATAAATAGACGATCACCTACAGTCTTCTAGAAAAAACGGTTTAGAAAAACTGTAACATCTAGAAGTAGTTTTTTTCTTCTTAACTAATTTAAATAAAAGAAGAATAGGTCACAGCTGCAAAGCTTTAAAGCCGAGATGAAATGAAAATTCAAAGGTTTCCCACTGACCCGGTTGACGGCACTACAATCAAGGCATCGATACGCAGACAACTCGTTTGACAGCGCGGATAATTCCTTCAATAACTTTGAATCCGTCTCACGTCCTCTGGCAGGCGCTGTCTTATAAGCAAATAGAATCAAGGGCTGCCGAGGCTTTATCTTTGGCTTCGCAACCTATAGCTGCCACGCAACTTAGATGTAAAAATTAAATTCTGAACTGAGATTTGGACAGGTATTCCGTACAAGAAACACTAATCACTTACTCGTTTTCAGGTGTGTAGCCTTTTAAAAATAGATTTCAAAACAATATTATGAAATGCGAGACCTACTTGACGAATATGAGAAATAGCAGCCATTCCTTGCTCGTAAGTATCTGAAACTATTCCAAATACCAGAACATTCGCTGAGTTGCTGGAAGATGCGCTGTCTGGAAGTACATCACTGATAAACATCGAATAGCGGTCCGATCCCACAGACATATACAAAACCGCACATTCGTCCTAAAATTTATTCTCGCATCATCCTAATTTAAAAATTTACTGCGTAGATGACAGTGACACCAATAACTTTCAGTAATTGAAACATCGAAACATTAAAAATCCGAAGTCAGTGTACCCCGTTATCATTGCGATAAGTATTGCTTGTCGCTAGCTTGAGCAACGAGCCTCCATTGTTAATATCGTCGCTTAGCACAGAGCAGTAAACGTTGAACAATTTCTCGACCTGTAAAATATCTACTAGGCCACTCTCTATCATATGCCAAGTCTTACCACTCAAAAATTACTATCGCACGAATAAAACCTTACCCTAAACCGATTGAACTTGTCACTGATACTGTATAGACGAGGTAGTTTCTCGCCTAATGAAATTAGCTCAACGTCATCTGAGACCTCCTGCTTGGCGAATGAACCGTCTTCAGGCGAGTACATGCGATACTCCGGCTGAAAATGAAATATGAAGTAAATGTTTTATATAGCTCGAAGCAAATGACCTAAACTCGTGATATACTTCTTTACGCCAACAGCAACAGCAGTAATGACAACAACAACAAGAACAAGAACAACAACAACAACAACAACAACAACA